TACCGAAGCCAGCTCGACAACATGCTGACAAGTGCCCGATTATATATGTTATAAAACAGTGTTGGTGGTGTTGTGCCTCCAAAAATGGAGGCTCTGCTTCTAAAAAATAAATTGTAAAAAGTTGTGACTTCTTGTACATCCATTCCTTTATTATTGCTTTGTATATCCATGATTCATTTTTCCAATGTGAATAATTGGGCTTTTCACGGAGCTAATGATATTGCACAATTTAATTTGCTTTTTATCAGCTGTCCTAAATTATCCATCTCTTTAACTCAAAATAATCTGCTTGGATATAGAAGTGTTGTACGGGCTTTTAGACTCATCTGCTCATACCCTATGACTAAGTCTTAGGCACAGTGACTGAGATTTTAGATAATTTAGCTGCTAATGCACATTCAGCATCTAACTGCTTTAAAACAGCCTTAAACTCTTAACTCTTTAAAACAGAAACTGAAAAGCTCAGTTTCCCTGACTTAGCCGTTCCAGAAATGGAACTGCATATTCTGTTCGTTCACAAGTATCAAAAAAGCCTTCGTATTATTTTAGTATGATTTGTTTTACAGACTTTTCTCATCACTCAACTCCTTAGTAAGAATTCATTTTGGCATTTTTTTTGACAAAATCTATTTTTGAAATACTTCTATGGGTACGAGAAGAACCTCTGAATATATAGAGCATGAAAAGGGTGCAAAGTTAGGAATTATGGCCATGTCAGGCCAGTTAAGCATTGTAATCAATTGCACAGGAAAGCTGAGGAACCTCTTTTTACCTGTCAAAAAAAGATGCGAGTAAAGCTTATCCAGCATTGACTACAGGCTCTGAAGATCCTTGCAGTACTTATTTCCTTTGAGTGTATTACTTCTTTTATTTTCTTGGCTCCTTTTGGTCCACTTTTTATTCCACAGCCTGTTACTTGCAGTGTCATTGTGCCCACACTCAAACCTTCCCCTTTTCTGTAATCTTCTTTTTCTCTGTTACTTTTCCTTATTTCCATAGTTCTGAAGGTACACACAAAAGAATATATTGAACTCCTTCAGTCATGTTTTCAAGCTGTGATTTGTACAATATTCCTGACGTTATATATTGAACAATATAATTGTCCTACTGTTCAATGAAAATAAAAAAACATAAATTTTCACTCGCAACTAATTATGTGTCTTAAGCAACTGCATTCAGCAAACAATAAATTTGTGTGGCAAGAATTGAATTTTGCCTTTCGCCTAGTATTAAATAGTTTGAAAAAACTTTAAAAATCTAGTTGAGAAAATAACTTTTTTGTAAAGTGCATTTTAAGTGTTTCAGTTAGATTACACCTACCAGAAATAAATACTCCTCTGCGACTTTTGTCTATGACTATTATCATTATGAAACAATCTGCCACTCTTTCTATGTCATTAGTTGTGTCCTGCTGTGTGAGTAATCTCACTAAAATCAACAGGACTCCTTGCAATGTCAGATGCTGCTCAAAAGGAATAAGGGCAGGGGAATCTCACTTTATTGATTTGATATGCTGGTTTATAGTTTGCTATTTTATGCTTGTACGTGAACATTTACTTTTACCTCTAGTCATGTGAAGAGAATGGAACTACTTGAGCGATGCAGTCCTTCACAATAGAAATCAGGGCTGCACAGTGCAATCCCTTTAATCGAATACATCCACAAGCATACCGCAAATTCAGCTGTGGACAATGGACCTTAATTTACTCAATTATAACACAAACAGCTATGATCCTTTCAGGGACCGGTGCTCCAACATTTGCACCTGACTGGAGGAGGAAGCAGGTCAGTACTTCATAGGACCAGGCCATTGGAGAAAAGATACATTACCTTCTGCTAATAGTAGGATAGCAGATCTTTCCAAGATTACAAATTAGAGTTAATGACAGAAAAGTATTATGTGCTAACAAATATTTAAAATTGCGGTTAGCTCAGACTTGATATACGTTTTCCAAGTAGAATGAGATTAAACAGAAAGGTCCATTAAAACATGCATAATTTCCTCGAAAATGTTTTAAGGTCATGGTCAATGTGTTAAAGGAGAAGCTACAATCAATATCGCCATCACTAACTAAGAAACTCCGCAGAGCAACAGCAACTGTAATGTTTTTGGTGCAAATATTTACCTAGGGCATGTTCACTTGAATATTTATCCAGAAGATATTGGTTGATATTTCTTTAGTCAAGCTCCTCTGGTTTTCTCACTGAAGTCAGTCAAATCTCTGTTCTACTCTGGTTTGCACGTATATAGAGAAAGTTCAGTTATGCTCTGATAGGAGGTGTTAAAAAGATCAAGAAAGTTGTCCAGAAAAGAGTTCAAAGTAAATTTTTTCTCTTTTTTATGCCTTTCTGAGTTTGTATGGATCACAGAGACTGGCAAACATTAACTACCGAGTTCTTACCTCAACAGATGTTGACATACAGTGCAAGTTCAATAACAGCTTGGATTCATTTTTCTCTAAATGATGCAGTGGGATTAAGTGGCCCCTAGCCAATATGCAGAAGTTCATTTTAACCCAGGAGGATTTGCTTAGCGGTTCAAGCTTATGTCTGCAATATCTAGGCCTTATTCAAAACTCCCAGTCTCTTGCTCAACTCATCTGATAAAGCCTCAGGTATTCTTTCTCTTTTGCATACAAGTTCATAAGCAGCCAGAGTTACTCAGCTGAGTCTTTGGAATCAAACAGGTCTCAACAGGACAAGGTCCACGAAAATGGGAGGTGAGGGTGGGAAAAACTGTCCTCATCTGCCCAAAAGTCATGCAGACGCACATTGTTCATTTACATCAGATTGATTTCCTTGCAGTAATAAAGTAAAATTGTAGTATTTAATAAAGCAGAAGGTGAATATATCTCCTTCCAGATATGCACGGATTGTAAGGCAAGGGGGATAAAGCGGAGGGCACAGTGAACTCAAATCAAACAAAATTAACCAATTTTTAGGCAACGGATTGACAGATGGTATCTTAGCTAGTCTATACTTCAATATATACCTGCGTTTTCACCTTTTCTTAAGCCACAGCGGGAATGACTGGTGCCTATCAACAAAGCAGCCACGTGGACGAGGAAAAGTTAGGCTGAGTAAACCGACAGCATCACACACTTTAATCTGTATAATTTGGGGGGGGAGAGAGAAGAAAAAGTGACAGACCTTATGGAACGGTTCATTTTGCTGCTTGCTTTTAATCTTTTTAAACCTTAGCTTTCTAAAGCAACCTGATTCTGAAGAGAAATACATATTCTGTTCAGACTGATATCTTAAGAGGTAAAAAGATGGATCTAATGTCATCTCAAGAGGACGATTTCATAAGAGGCTAAGAAATCTTCTCAGCCTTCTCTGGTAGTGATTTTATTTTAAAATCACCTGCAAAAGTCCTCCAAGATGGCATTATGTAATTGCCTAACAAAAGCTATCAGAAAAGGATACCCTGTTATTATTTTTACATACATACACGTGCCAATAAGTTTCACCATCAATACTTGTGATGTCGGTCTTACTGTTTTGAGGGTAGCTGCTCTAATAGGACTTCTTTTGCGCCGTCAGCTGCTCTAATAGGACTTCTTTTGCGCCGTCAGCTGCTCGTTTGAAGTTAAGAGCAAAGTTGGCAGGACCCTTGTCTGGAGCAGTGAGGAGCCATTCTCGAACCACAGCAAAACTGCCTCTACAGCACGCTCGTGGTTTCAGTTTCTTTGTCCGGGCTCTCACTGCTGTTTTTGCTACTTTATTTTCAAAGTTACGATAAGCATGCCACTGATGGAGCTCTCCCGTACTCTGCATTTGGCTATGATTGTGATGGGGTGGTGGGGTCACAGTCCACGCTGAAAACCACAAAGTAACATCAAACAATGATTTTAATAATGAGATTCTAGATTTATACCAATCTGGGTTTAATCATGTTACTGAAAGATTTAACATAAAGCGTTATGCAGAGGAATCCACTTGAGAAACTATTCATTTTTTGCCAGTTACTGGAAAGAAAGTAAAGCTAATTCAAACCTGCCCATTTCAGACCTTGTGGTTATTTCAAGGGAAGGCTCACCCCTTCCTTTCCATGTAAATTCACTTTATCTTCTTGGAAGAGCTGCTGATTCTATCAGGTTCGGCGTGAGTCTATGGCGCAGAGGAAACCCAGCAAGCCCAGGGGCCTGGGGGTGGATTCCCACCTAGCGGCACGGTCCTGGAGGTGGTCCGGGGCAGCCTTCTCCCCTTCAGGGGCCGGAGGGACCCTCGTTTTTCCAATAGGGTGCAAGAGGAGACACATAGTGCCCAGAGTGAACAAGAACAGCTACCTCATAAGACAGTAGGGTGTAACACGTTACTTCAAACGTGCCGCATCTCGTGGTAAGGAGGAAACTCCTGGAACCGAAGAGATGACTTCTGTCCAGCAACAAAAAAGTGCAATCTGTTTACCTCTAGCCTGAACTATAATTAACAACTAATCAAGGTAAGTGCACAATATGCTGAAAAACTTGCTGACTGAACGTGTTGGTTTCAGTCTTGTACCACTGTTCCTGGGCAACAGGAAAGAATTGGAGAGCCATTTCCACTCTCCTTCATTTCATGGGGGAACTGGAAAGTGATGACATAGCTTCAAAGGACAGTGTTATCTCAAATGTCCCCTGCCTCTATAGAAAAGATACGAGTGCATCAGAAGGGATAAGACACTTAGACAAGCGTTCACAAAAGGATAGCAATGTCACATGTCTCGGTAAACGCCCAGGCAAAGAAATCAGCAAGAGAAAGCTGATTCCAAGTAACGTGATTTAGCTTCCCAGGGTGAGAAAACTGCTTGACCACAGCAGCCCAGACACCCTCACTTTTAGAAAGTCAAGATTTAGGAAGAACTGACTAGGTGCCTCAGCAATCCTGGCAAGGAGTAGGAAGAATAAAATACAGGTGCCTAACAGAGAAGGTTAAGATGCGCTGAGTAGCAGTGGTAAAGAAGCACAAGCACACTAAGGCCACTTCACTAGAGTCAATTCATAAAGCCAAGGTTTACTTTATTAAAATGTGAAGAAAGAACTTTGCTCTGATGCAAAAGCCGTCAGAACAACATCAGTCAGGGACAATAAATGGCAACATGCTGATCACATCCCCAGCCTCAGTCTCAATGGTATCGTAAGCCCATTTCCTATTGCAGCGACATTCTGGTCCACATTTGTTCGAATTGCATTTGGGGCAAGGATAGAAGCAACCCAGGCAGTTCTTTTCCAGGCAGTCACACAAATCGACATTATTACAAAGCAGCCTGCCATGTTTGTCATACTTCTTTGTGATTCTGCAGGAGAGGGGGGAAAAAAAAAGTGATTCTCAGAGACCATTTCAACATGTTCAAAGACTAAATAGAACTAACGTGGAAAATGTCAGGAACAAGTATTTCCACTTCAGCACCTTTGCAACACAGTGAAATACCAGCATTAGATCCTAACTGCGACAAACACTGTATTAAAAATGCGTATGCCAAAGTAGTAAGTCAAAATTCTTTTAAATCACACAGAAAAAGCATATTTTCCCAGAGCAGCTTTCACATCTAATAAGCAATCTCTCTGAAAAATACTAATGTTTTTATTCAGTTCATTTATATTCAGTAAACAGCATAATAGCAATTTTTTAAAAGTAAACTACGTAATAAATAAGCACATCTTACTTGGGCTTATAAAAAAAATCTTGGTTCATCTGTGACATGCGTGCTTTCTTTTTCTGCTCTCTAGTTTCAGGATTGAAGTCAGCTACCTGAGGTCCTGGATTTTGAAAGGCTAAGCATTTTAGTTGTTTCTCTATTTGTTGCTACAAATGTATATAAAAAAAAGAACAACAGCAAAGTTATAAACACAGGTAGGAAGGTGAGACAAAACCCAACCTCAATTAAGAATCACATTGTTTAAAATGTTTCCTTGTCTAACTGTTAATTGATTATTCCTCTGATCAAATTTGCAGCCTAACAAAAGAGGGAACCGCCAGGACTCAATACAGATTCTAACTCTGGTACAGTGGCATGGAGTTTGAAGGTTGTCTTGTGGCAGAAATCATGTAACTTTTTCTTCAAATTTAACCATAATGTAAAATCGAGTGCTGTAACTATACTCATCTCAGCTGGGTTAGCCCTCTAAACCCTTCTCTGTCCCTGTTCTCTCTGGTGCCCATGGCCCAGCTTTGTCCCGACAATCTGCAGACAAGGAAAAGGTCGGGATGATCAACTGGTGTGGGAAGGAAGCAGGCACAGAAATGAGGAGTGTGAGAAAAGCACAGGCAAAGGCAAGGAAGCCAAGCTGAACACCTTTAATAGTCACACAGCTTCTGAGAAATAGGAGGAATTTTTTTCTTGCATATTTTATGGAATTCCTATTTACAATCAGCTGAAAGCGCTGATTAGTTTTACGAGATTATATATATATATATATATCAGCCCTTGTCCTTCAGGGTCTTTGTGTACTGTCACTCAACACAGCCCACGTACATCGTCAGTCACGTCTCAAGTCAATGCAAACAAACATGGGCGTTATGTCAAGGAGTTTCTGTTTGGACAATGACCGTGGACACTGTACATCCACTTGTCATGCAAAGGCACAAACATACATATAAGTTGATCTGTTCTCCTTTTAGGTTAATGAGATGAATTGCCACCTGCCAGCTTCCCTGGCAGGTGTCATGCCTTTCACAAGCCATGGTGATTTTTCACAACCAAGGGAGCGCTTTGGTGGCTCCTCATGGCGAAAACAGTGGGAGTTCAAATCAGATCTGCTGCTGTGGTGCCTTTGAAACATAAATATATGCACGTGACAGCAGTTGGCTGGTGCTGCGCATCTTCATCTGTATCCTCCTGAAAACCTGAAGGGCAATCTCATCCACCTGCAATATTCAGACATTTCTGCTTTGGGGTGTGGAGTAGATTTCTGGTGAATTTGGTGAGTTTTGGAGTTTTCAGCCTCATTATTGCACTTAATCATAAATTACATAGTTTCAAGTTGGAAACAAATAATAAGCTATAGAGATGTAAATGGTTAACACGAGGGTCACCTTTCAGAGCTTAAAGGTGGCTTAAAAGATAGCCAATCCTCCATCCAAGAGCACGCTTCTATTTTGGGGGTTGGACCAGATCTCCAGAGGTCCCTCACCACCTCAGCTGCTCTGTGACCCTGTGGTTCCCCCACTTTTTGTTTCATTAAGGCTCTGAAGACTTGGCTCACTTCACTGTTTGTTATTACTGGTATTTCCCTATGGGCTCCTTTTTTTTTTTTTTCCCTCCAATAAATATAGAAGAAATCGAAGGCAATGGCAAGGATCTTGGATCAATAAAGTGGTACCTGAGAAGACATACCAATTGTTTTTGTGTTATTGAGCAGTCCTTAGGAGGAGAGGCATTACTTTCTGCAGATGATTCCTGGGCAGAATTGTTTTTCTTCCAGTTTTCTTCCAAATGATCGCTCATTTCAACACTCTAATGAAATAGATCCATACATACGTGTTAGACATACGGAAGTGTGAAACCCACAGACATCTTAGGTTTTAGGATGAGTAGGTGGTGTCCATACTACGCTTTTATATGCTCTTAACCCGCTCCGACTGCAGAATCAGCCTCTATTTCAAAACTGTATCAAAATAAAATAACTAGCATATAAAACAGAAGCTGTATCCCCAAAGCCACTCTATCATTCGAAATTAAGCAAAACTCAGAAAAACTCCTGCATTAAAACATCGCAGAAGCGCCACTTGAAAGAAGCGTGATCCCCTCTGGATCTAGTGCTGACCCCACATGAGCAGCTGTAGGGAGAGTGCGAGGAGCAGGATTCTCACAGAAAGAGCAAAAGCGCTCAGGGATGCCCAAGAGGGAAATGAAGACTGCGGCACGCGTGGGGTGTCACTTCGCGTACCACTAGGTGCCACTGTTGTCCTAGCTACAGGTCTTCGGCTAAGTCTCCAATAATGATGGGGGGAAAAAAATCATTTTTGGGGGGGAGGAGGGGTGCAGCATCATTTCGCACATTTTCCTAGACACTCAAAAAGCAAGTGTCAGAATGAGGTCTATGGCCGCTGGACTACTCCATGCAGATCCACAATTCTGCTTCTGAAGATTTCAGACCTGGCCTTGAAATCTCAATCCTTATCACTGTGAACGTTTTTGGTTCAAAAAGTGCATGCTTCACACCCCAGCAGAGCTGCCCTACAAACACCATCCATCACCTCTCCCTGTTCCTTCTCTCTCCGTCACAGAGAAATGGTGGAGGAGAACTGTACATCGTGGATGTTAGCTACTTCATTTTACTCATCTTGGGAAGCTACTTAAATACAACTCCATGCAATATGTGCAGCCTCAGACTTCAACCCCAAACAGTGCAAGGAAAGTGTAAGCCTTCTGCTGTCGAGCTCCTCGAACCCTTCCCCCAGGTGCTGGCCCGTCCCTCCTGTTGTGCCCAAAAAGCACTGCAACGAGTACCCTCCACGTTAGGATTATTGCCCAAACCCTGTCCCTGAGAACAGCTATTTTAGAACTCCTTCGGTGGATGCACTTCGCCTCTCCACTGTGCCTCGGGGCAGGTGCTCTTTGTGAGGAGAGGGGAGCTCCTCCAGCTTCAGGCACCTCCAGGCCAGCTCCCCTCCACAGCCGAAGGCGGGTTAGAGATGAGAAGGGGCTGGAGCCCCCGACCTGGTGGTGACAGGAGCAGAGGCTTTGCAGGAGAGGGGAGAACAGCCCTCAGCCTGCTTTCAGAGTTTCCCTTTCTTCCTTTTAGCAATAGGAAGAAGGATTCTGGGATACTGTTCGCAGCAGGGCGCCCTGGAGCAACAGTTTCAGTCTGTGCTCTTTGGACCCCAGGTAGCCCATGAACCACTTCTCAAGATGAGAAAAAGAAGGCTATTACCAGCCAATAAGCATCTGCTGTACAGGAGCCTGCTTCCCCACTGGAAATTTGATAAAGATCCACAAATAAAACAAAAGTGAAGGCCACTGCTCCAGCCAAAGTCAACATTGCCCTTCATTGACACTCAAGTTGGACTCCTGATAAGGATTTGCTTCCTACATCTCCTCTTAGGCAGAATCATGCATCCGAGGTTGTCAGAGCACTTCACAAGTATGCATGAGCATTATCCCTCCCTATTTGTTACACTGTGCAGGGGTCAAGAGCAGGACAGCCATCAGCAGCTACTAGCGAAAGCACACAGAATTCCTCCAGTGTCTTCTGGTGTTGCAAACATTTTGACCCCTTTGGAAACCAAGCCCAAGCAGTTATCAGGAGCCAAACTTCGAAAATCAGTCACCACTTTTAAAAACTTGGCCTAAGACGAACCACTCAGCATCTCATTCCACATGGAGATGTATTTCAACTGCTCTTTCACCTCAGCGAAAACATTCTCCACAGAAAATATAGCACTTTTCTGTCTCCACAAACAGTCTAAAAATAAAGGGTTATTTTTCACTCTCTAGGAAAGATATTTAAAAAAAAAATCAGGCACAGTAGGACTAGGGAACTGTGCAAAGTTCAGAAGCTGGTGAGACTCACTAGACTGATTTTCTTCCATATCATCCTCCGAAAGAGGGATGAGGGAAAGAGGAAGACTACCAGACTCAGGCATCTACTCTCAACTCTGCAAAACTTAAATTATCCAAAGGAAGGGAATCATGGTCCCGGAGCAGTGTTTATCCTGATGCTGTGAACAGTTTTGGTCTATCCTGTCTGGCTATAGTGATCAGCCCAAAGTCAAGGCATTCAAGCACTAGTCACTTCCATACAGATTTCAGCTCAGAAGCCTTTAGAGAGCAATCAATTGTACTCTTCCTCCCTGCAAAAGCTGTGTTCTCCCACATCTTTTGAATGAAGCAAGCACTTCTTGGAGGTGATCAGCCACAGCTCGAGGTCCCACTGTGACCATAGCATCTGTCTAGGAAATGGCAATTTCAGCGCAGATCCTTGGCAGGGCTAATGAGGCTAAAAGCAGACGAAGGGAGGAAGAAAATTAGAGGCTGTGCTGTATTAAAAGAGACTTGGACTTACCCAAGAGACAGATGTTTCTGCTCAGCGAGCAGTTTCAGGAGATGTTGGACGCTGGGAGGAACTGCATTTGTTTATGATTTTCAGAAGGGACATATTTTTCTGTATCTACTCTTTCAAGAATTAAGTATTCCAATTTATGAGCTTTGCAACTTGCGCTGTCTAAATACTTCAACAGACGTAAAACGTGGTGACCTGCACTCAGGCTGCTTGACTTCAGCAGCCTAAAGCTGGTATCTCTACAGAGCTTACCAGAGTGAACGTGCAGTGCTTACTAGGTTATATTTGTTCACTCCAGTGGAGCCTCTCTGGCTCACATATGCAAGCATGTTCATCACCTTCCCCAGGGCAAGGCAAAATGCTCTTCCCCATGGCTCTGATCTCCCTGTGCACACAGGGGTTAGGCTGAACCTAACCTAGGGATGGTAACCCTAGGCTAGCTCTGCAGAGCTCTCCATGGGCTCAGAGACCAAGCAGGCAGGGTGGGGACACGCTCACCTAAGCACCATGAAATCTCTATAGGACGTCTGGTGCTAGCCTAATTAAGAATGAGAATAAATTCAGCTTCCTCAGGCTCCACTGTGCTGTAAAGATGTGGAGGGGGCACCTACCAACTAGCATATGCCTTCTCTCGTGGTCCCAAACGTAGATGTGTGTCCAAAAGATGGCCTTGGGGACAGCAGGGAAACACCAAACAGATCAAAAAATAGGTCTTGTGTCTTGCAACTCAGCCAGTTTCCTGGAGATCCTGCAAAACTGGTGACAGAGCAATGGCCCATTCTGTGAGAGGAATCTAGGAAAGCAAATCCCACCATCTCCCAGTAAAATAAAACAAATCCTTACGAGTTTTTCCTCCCCAAGCCAAGTGGGCTTCTACCACGTGTGGAAGTGAGGGATCCTTTAGCTGAATTCTGAAAGACAATTATAAAATCCGGGGTGTCTATTGTGCAACAGGTAGAAGAGGTCTGCCAGATCCACCTTCTGAAAAACCGCAGTTCTGCAGGGGATATGTTCAGTTCAGATCACACTATAAAAGAGAAGGAAGGTTCCCCAGAATTTTAAATTGTACTTACCAAAGAAACGGGCTGGCACAGCAAAGACTGATTACTCTAGACTTACTGCTGCACAATTCCTCTGATAGTGAGAGTATGACGTCAGCCCCAGAGTGACTGAAACAGAAGACAAATCATCGAAATAGTGCTCCCCAGAGAGGCAGGCTGAAGACAGTGCCAGCTAGCTGTCTTAAAGGAGCTCACGCTTGTCTTATTAGCGGTGGCTTTTAAAAATAATTTGACTTAGCACAAAGGGTGGAAATAGAGAAAACAATATAAACTGGGATGAGAGTCTTCATTTATTACCTTCATCTGTTGTGTGTTCACAGATGAAAAGTATTTCTTAGACCTCCTTTTTTTAAAGAATAAGTAAACAGTAAAACTGTAATGAGTATTGCATTTCAGAAAAAAAAAAGAACTTTTTTTTTTTTTTTAAAAGAACATGGATATAGTAAGGGAATATATTACCACTTCTGACAAAATGTTTTGATTCTGTTTGCCATCTCCAACAGTCAAAAGTGATTAAATAAGTATGCTCCCCAATGGCGAAAAAACATCACAACCTCACATTTCAGCTTTCTGCCTTTCAGGATTACTGGATACGCCAGTTGAGACAATTCAGGCTTCTCCCGATACTGTCAGATGCCAATTTCCAGGACTGCTGCTATCACCGATAGCTTTCATTACTCTTTCCTAGAACAAAACTAAATCCTAACAAACATCCAAATTTGTCAAGTCCTATGAATTCTTCTGTTGTGCTTAGAAAAACGGTCCAGAACATCTTTTTTCTGCATCTGTAGAATCTATCCATTTTCCGAGGCATTTCAAAACCCAGTCAGAGGGCAAGCACATTTATTATTTACTATATTGTTTTCTTTTCCTCCAAACACTTTTGAAACCAAATGTTGATGTAATATTTCAGCAGCAGACTTTACCTAGTTACAACACACAGTCATTATATTTCACCAACTATTTTCTTTGTCATGAAAAATAAAACAGAAATCTCTCAAGGGAAAAATTACAAAATCTCCAAGGTACTCCTACAATAGCAAGAAACAAACAGAAGAATACAACCTGTTTGTTTTATTCTGCTTTATTTTTTCCAGTATTCTTCTGATTTCTCTATATTGTATATAACGGAGGAAAAAGGTATTAGTAATTCTATAAATGCAAAAATTTTAACCAAACTGCCTTATGCTTAATATCTCCTTTTCTTCAGTTTGGTCATAAATCTGAACTCTTTCTGAACTTTCTGTTTGTGCACAAGTTATGATATTTGTCTGTCACGGCATACCTGATAACGAGCAGCTGACAATCTACTCAGAGTTATTTTCACTGTGTGCGTGTTGCCCTAGGAGTAAGTGAAGGCATACACATAAATTAAAATCTTAGGTGACATCGTAAGAGATTGATAGCAGTGGCGAAACTGCTAATGATTCCTACAGGGCCAAGTCTTCCCCTCTACGAGCCTATGACTCCAAGTACGCCTTGGCAGACGTGATCTAAATGTCCCTGTGGATAAAAAAAACAAAGCAGAGAAACAATTAAAGATATCCAGATTCTAAATAGAAGGGTTCCTGGTCATTTTCCAATATCAAGTTGGTTGCTTGGCTACGGACTGGCTGTTCATGCAGCCGTATCCCAACGGGTCCTGGATAACAGTCATCTTCAGCGTGTTGCAAGGTCTTCCATAGACCAGCCCTCTTGCCCAGCTCTTCTTCTTTCCCAAGGACCAGTGACCCGCGCAAGGGGTTGGCTCCATTTCAGTAAGAGCAGACACTGGATTTACAGTGCTGGATTAAGTTTAGAGACATCCAGTGTTTTCTGTGGAATATGGGATATTCTTTCTTCTTTCCCAGACTAGAAGCTGTGATATAAACATAATATCTGATATTTAACCAGCTTTCTATTAATCATCCCAGAGTTAAGAGTATTACACAAGTACATCATAGGCGAGGCCAACACAATGACATTGGACAGGCTTTACTCTGTAGATAAACTGAACTATTAATTTCACTGTGAGGTTTTCTCAGCAAAAACTTCCTCCGCTATTTAATTTAACAGCAATAAAAAATTGCAATGGATTGGAAACACTCTCATTGCTGCTGCTGGTAGCTCCTCAGTAAAGTGGGAGCACATCGTGGGGTCGATGCTGGATCAGCAAATATCCTCAAATGCCTTAATATACTTTGCTGCACAGTGCGCTCAGCAGCATCCTGCAGCCATTACAAAACGGGCGGCTGAAGAGAAGAAATTGCAGTTTTCAGTGTTAAAAATTGGTCTGTAATGTTCTTATCTCACTGGCAAACAGTTCCTTGGGGCCTCGTGTGCTGACTGTTGAAGGGTAAGCCGGACTGGCGTTTTAACAGCGGTCTGTCCCTTTTATCACCCATTTTTGTCTCGTTCTCCTCCCGCTGTTGTTCTAAATTGCTGCTGCTTGTCAGTTACTTTTGTCTCTTCTTTCCTCCCTCCTGAACGCTCAAACCAGCAATATTCACTTGGGGAAAATATCAACAGAGAAGAAGCATGAATATGGCTGGGAAATAATTTTGGTGGCTAAGATGTCAACAGCGAGAAGTTGTGAATGACTTGCTGGAAACACGAGGGGGAACGAAAACACCCTTCTCTCCGGGGAAGGAGGAGACTGTAAAGCCTGCCTCAAAATCAGTCCAGCACGGGCGAGTTTCAGCTGCCTCACAAACCTCTTGGGTTATTTAGTGCCGTTTCTTCCACGTGAGCAAAGAGAGTCAGCAATAGGCATTGCTCCTTCCTATCCATCACTTTGTTTACCACCACCCCCAAAGCCAGAAGCGTAGGTTAGTCGTTTTCTTGACAGGCAACCAGCCCCCACTTGCAGAGGGCCACTTTATCGGCGCCGTTTGACCCACGCAGCTCTCAGCAATTCGCAGCTGCTCAAAGCAGCGCTAGGGCTTGGAGCGGGGTGCCCTGCGTGGCCGCTTCGTTGGGGGAGATGAGGTCTGTGTCTCCCTCCACATCCTCCTCCTCCTCCTCCTCCTTCGTTCATCCGCGGCAATTCCCCAGCGTTCACTGCCACCCCCTCGTGCACACGGT